GATAGATAGATAGATAGATAGATAGATAGATAGATAGATAGATAGATAGATAGATCTATTACTATCATTATCTTCGCTTCTGTTTGAAAGTGCCTCAAAACATCACGTCTTGTAAGGTTGTCGGGTGCCCAGAATGCGCGGACTCCGTGAGTCAAGATTCCCCACAATCCCACCATCAGGTACTCACTCGCTTTGATCTTGGGCCAGTCCTCGCGTTTGATGCGGACATCTTCGTAGCTCTGTCCGGCAGCGGCAAAAATAAGCCGTGTGATCTCTGCACGGCCGTGCGTGTCGAAGTACGTGAGTTTGTAGCTGGGCATTCTGTGAAGACAAACAAATTAATATGTCACTATTTTTTTATGTAAGTGTTTTACGGTGCTCGCAACTGCCTACTGTCATATGAGCGTGCGGGACACATTAAACATTTTCAGTTGGTATGAAATGTTGAATTTAGCCCGGGTGGCGGCCAAAGCCTACTCTTATCGATTTTAGACCACCAAGGGATCTTTAACGTGCGCAGCTTGCACACTGGACCTCCGAGATTTTTTCACCCTTGTCCGAGAAGGCTATATGTAGATCTTTCCTACCAGAAGATCAGAGGTGAGGCTGAAAGACAGCTGTAAGAAGGAGCAAAGGAGTAGCAGTAGAAAGGCTGCTGAAAGAGTCAGGAGCCCAAAGTAAGGGGTAAAGGAGGTGAGGGGGTGGAGGCAGAAAGTGGAGACGAAAGCAGACGACAGAACGTTGTTGGAGAGCAGGAAAGGAGGTGAAAGGAGACAATATTAGAGAACAATTTTTTTTCTGTCGTTACCCGGATTCGAACCCGGGATCTTTGAATGAGAAGCGAACACCTTAACCTCTAGGCCACGAGAACCCCCCTACGTCAGTTTGTAACTAGGCATTCTGTGGACTCACAAAAAGGTCTACGTCAGTTTGTAATTAAGCATTCTGCGGACACGCAAAGATTTTTTAAAATGAAAGTAAAGTATACCCCCCTCCTCCTTCCTTCTCCCTC